GAACGAAGATATTTTAACACATAATAGTTTTAATAACTAATTTCTAATAACTGATTTCTTTTATCTTTGCCATGATGACAGTAAATAATATTTGACTAGATATTTTTCAAGATACTAGTCATTAGCTTAAAGTGACATTTTAAAGGCGAGTTAACCTAACAATATTGCATATTTTCCCAGTATTGTGCAGCCCTAACTTCAAGCTTCTATATTCCCATTACTCTGTTGGGACTGATTTCAGAACTCTTCATATTGGTGTGTCTCTCTGTGCAGGTTGGCACTGCGAGGGCCGCTGGGTCGCCTGTACCAGGAGGTGGAGACTTTTCGTTACCGAGCTATTTCAGACACATGGCTGACAGTGAACCGGATGGAGCAGTCGCGCACAGAGTACAGAGGAGCACTGCTCTGGATGAAGGACGTTTCTCAGGAGCTCGACCCGGACACACACAAGCAGATGGAGAAGTTTCGGAAGGTTAGTCTCACATTGCAAAACATGCTTTTTTTTTGTCCTGTTTCTGGTCCAAAAATCTAAAAACTGTTAAATCCAGAAGCATTTTTTTGACGAGCAGAAACTATTGTCTTCTTTCAGAAATAATACTTTATGTCAAAATGAAGTGAATTCTTCATTAAAACAAGCAAAATAATCTGCCAATGGGGAAAGCAAAATAATCTAATTTCAAAGCGAAAGCAAGATTATTTTGCTTGCCCCATTGGCAGATTATTTTGCTTGTTTGAAGGAAAAACTTTAGACTTATTGTTTTTGAAAACAAACAAGACAATAGTTTTTGCTTGTTTAGAAAATGCTCCTTGATTTTTTTTTTGTTTTTTTTTTGTAATGCTTGCATATAAATGTGTGATCAGATATGACTTCTTCCATACTATATACAGTAGGCAAAAGTCAGTATGTGAGTCAAGTAGTTTGTCCAAATATTATGAATAGGATTCATTAGGAATTGTAAAAAGGTAAACCACTGTAAATTTTCTGATGGTTACCTTTTTAAATTTTCAAATCAAATCCCAATGCCAGACAATTGGATATTTTCATCAAATTGCACAACCATTTTTGGCTCTCTTATAAAGCAGCTTTAGGCACTTTTGTTAACCCTTTAACTTCTGCACCAAGAAAAAATGTTTGGATTGCATTATTTAACTCTTAGAGCCCCATCATACACCTGGCGCAAGGCGCGGCGCAATACTCTTTTGCTACTTTTAGCTCGACGCAAGGGTCATTTTGAGGTGTTGCACCACGCTGTTTAAATAGCAAATGCATTTGCGCTGAAATGTGTGCCCATAGGCGTTCTGGTCTAAAAAAGCAGGCGTGTTTTGCCGCGTTGCTATTTTGAGAAACTGTAAATAGTCTGATCTTTAGACCAGAACCAAGTCGGTCTATTGTCTGGCGCAAAGTGCGCTTGGCTTACACACTACACACAAAATGTAGAGCAATACGCAAATATCTTTACATATGATAAAGACATAATATAATAAGGATATATATAATAAGGATATATACAGGATATAAATATAAATGATTAAAATATTACAAAACATATTAATTTCTAGCCTACATGAATTTAAAAACCACTGCCTTACTTTCTTCATCTCGGGAGGCTTTTTCAGTTCATTCAATTAGCTTTTGTATAATATTATTATTATTAGCAGTATTATTTATTATATCCATATTTATATTTGTTTTATTAAAAACAAGCTTAGATTTGTCCACCTGTCAGGTTTTAGATCATATGGGGCACAGCAGGTGTATTTGGAAATAACTCAGTATTTTGACCACACTTGGTCATTATTGTTCATTTATTCGATTGCCAGAAATTAGAACTGAATTTAGAAATAGTTTTGAAACAAATCTTTGCGCTTAACAAATGAAATTAATTATTTATAGGTTAATTGATGTCTGTGCGTAAAGGTTTCCCTATCATTGAGAGCAAAAGCGAAAGTGAACTTACTTTACGTCAAAATGTGCTTTTGGCGCGGCGCAGCTGGCTCTGAAAGGGAATGGGAGATGAGACTCTAATTGGTTTATTCTCAAAACACACCTATAACTCATTAAGAAAATAAACTCAACCCTTTTATTTTCCTGTTCTTAAATTAGTAAAAATGCGTTCTGATACGCCCTGAAAGCGTTTGCGCCTTGCGTTTTGCGCTCTGCGCATGGACCGTCAAAATAGAGCCCATAATGTCGCTAGTTAACACTCTTAATGCATTTTTTCAACACATCCTATAATTTCTAAAATATCAACCTCTACTAAATGATAGATATGTCAGTTTATGGTAAAAGTACCGAAATTAATGCATGAACTATAAAAAAAATGTAAGACCAATTTATTTGAAAATATAATCAAAATAAAACACTTTCGAACACCTTTATTTTTTTATGTATGCCATAAAATATTTCAGATTCTCATTTAACATGTTTTGTTTGTTTGTTTGTTTGTTTTACAATTAAACCAATATAAAGAATACAGGGTTCATACGGTCCTGGAAAACCCTAGAAAAGTCATGGACTTTTGACAAGGTATTTTCCAGGCCCGGAAAAGTTTTGAAAAAATAAATAAATAAGTAATGGAAATTTGTTTTACAAATATCTGTGTACTTCAATATATTTGAGATGGTAATATTGGGTAAATTTCAAATACAAATTGTGATGTCTATCCCTTCACGTGACATTCTCTGTGTGGGGCAAAAAGCAACTTGCCGTTTCAGCTTCGCGTCTCTTTCACTTGCATTCATCGTAAGATACTTTTGAGTGTCATGTCCAGAAACAATCTCTAACTACAGAGGTAAGATAATGTGGGTGCTAAAGGCTAATTTGTGCTAATTCAATAAGTTTTGTGAAGACCCAAGCCAACATTTCTAAAGAATTTCACACAAGATATTTTCTAACAACTATTTTACATTTTTTCAAAACATGGTCAACCTTTTGGTAGAGCGGGCAGTCAAAGGGTTTAAAGAGGTCGATTTGTAAAGTGTTTTCCTCTCCGCTGTCGCCACTGGCTTGCATGGTTTGGGACATGTAATCGATGGATTGCTCTTCACTGTTTAGACTCTCAGTATTGAATATCAAGCCACACTGAACTGAGCTAAACTAAACTGAACTTAAACACTAAAACTAAACTGACACTGTTTCAAATCTCTATAATCTTCTTTGTGAAGCTGCTTTGACACAATCTACATTGTAAAAGCGCAATAGAAATAAAGGTGAATTGAATTGAATTTTCAAGTGCAGGTTAAACAATGTTTAATAAACATGTTTAGGTAAAGTTTTTGTTGCATTTAAAGTTCTGACCAGCAGGTGTCACCAGTGTCTTGTTTTTTTTGTTATTCATACAGTGAATCATTTTTCTTTGAGACCTTTGACACTCTTGCTGCCTTTGCTGTGAACGCACAGTTATAAGTGTCTCTTCTCTCACCCCGCACCACACCAAAACCTCAAAACATTATGAAATTCTGAGTGTGTCATGCAGCTGAGAGGTCTTGACAAACCACCTGTAGAAGACACTCTTTCATCTCTCTGGCACATTAACCAACACTTGCACCAGTTTTGCACATTTGTGCCAGACACTTTCTTACAAGCACTCCAAATCTTAAAAATAAAGTGCATTACACAGGGGAGTGGGCTTGACAAAACTCCTGAACAAACACTATAAAAAACCTCCTAACTCTAGCGCGTAATCCCTTAAGCACTAGCAGTTCCTTTGTATAATTAGCACTTGTGTGTATTGCCTCTTCTTGTTGAATCACTGAATGCCTCCTCAATTGTAAACTGCTTCAGACACAAGCATCTGCTAAGTGACTAAACGTATGTCTGAAATGTCACTGTTAATCTTCACCTGTGGTTTTGCTGATGGTTTATTATTATTTTTGGCAGGCAGAATCATCTTCATCTTTCTCTGTCCTCAGGTTCAAACTCAGGTTCGTCATACCAAGACAAGTTTTGACAAACTGAAGAACGACGTGTGTCAGAAGGTTGATCTGCTGGGAGCCAGTCGCTGTAATCTGCTCTCACACGTCCTGACAACCTATCAGGTGACTACCTATTCCTGCAGTTCAATTCTTATTAATATTGATGAAATTATTATTGAGTAGGGTGGCGCGGTGGCTCAGTGGTTACCACTGTCGCAAGTTGTCATTTCTGTGTGGAGTTTGCATGTTCTCCCTGTGTTGGCATCCAAAGACATGCGGGTATTTTATGCGCAATTAACTAAATTGACAAAAACAAAATTGTAGTGTGTGTGTGTGTGTGTGTGTGTGTGTGTGTGTGTGTGTGTGTGTGTGTGTGTGTGAAAATGAGTGTGCATGGGTGTTTCCCAGTACTGGGTTGCGGCTGGAAGGGCATCCGCTGCATAAAACTGTGGCGACCACTGAAGTAGTGACTAAGCTGAAGGAAAGTGAACGAATGAAATCTTCCAGAAGATCAAATATCGGCCTTTTCTTCTTCTCAGACCACACTGCTGCATTTCTGGGAGAAAACCTCTCACACGATGGCTGCTATTCACGAGAGTTTCAAAGGCTGTCAGACGCACGAGACTTCAGCGGTGAGAGATTTACAACTAGTTAATGTTGCATTATAGCTGTTACTTTCAATGCAGTCATGTTTTAGAGCTCTATATGTATGGAGAGTACGTATATTTGAGATTTATTATTATTATTATTATTATTATTATTTATTACTTTAAAGGAATAGCATTGCATTGTAGCTGTTTGTTTGATATTCATAATTTGGGTAATTTATTACTGTATATTACTGTATGGTGAGTTTTAGCTGTTTGTTTAATAATAATTTGTGTGTGTGTGTGTGTGTGTGTGTGTGTGTGTGTGTGTGTGTGTGTGTGTGTGTGTGTGTGTGTGTGTGTGTGTGTGTGTGTGTGTGTGTGTGTGTGTGTGTGAGAGAGAGAGAGAGAGAGAGAGAGAGGCTTGACATTAACTTTTTTTGACCACCAGCCACTGTGGCTAGTAGATTTCCAACATTACTAGCCACTCATCATTTTCACTAGCCACACTTTTGTTGTTGGGAAAATATATTTTAAATGCATAAATTAGACTTTGATTAGCTAAAATGACTTGATTTAGATTTTGTGTAATGTCCACATGCCTCCTCATTTTTTTTTCACTTTTTGTGTGCCGTGTATGAACAAATGGGCAATGGTTTTATAGTCTTGTATTAAAATTAGTTTTTACTTCACATGAATTTTCAGAGCTCAAATTAAGGTTTTACTAAATTTATCTCTGACCACACCAAACATAAATTACTATTTTGTATCCACACATTTTTAATGTGTCAAAACAAGCAAAATATAGCTGTATACTGTTTATTTAACTACACATTTCTAAAAAAAAAAAATAAAATTGACATTTAAAAAAATAACTGCTGTAGTGTATCTAATATGCACAGTAACCTGTCCTGGCTAAAGGTCCCAGATCAACAGGTAACTACTCATAAATGGGGGTTAATCTCATATTGAACCAACGTTATTATAAAAAATTATAATCCATATTACCAAAAATACCTGTAAGCAAGAGAAAGCAGGGAAAAAACATCCCATGTATGATAATGAAAGGTTGATCACACACAAGGTTAACGCTAGGCCAATTAATAATCTTTTCAAATAACGGATAAAGCGAAAGTAATCGGTGCTCCTTACCAAAAGACAAATCTGGAGCTCTTTAAAGCAGCAAAACTATGTGTGCAAGAGCATAAATTATTGTCTAGTCTATTTGAAAGAGAACCAATCACACAGATGGGAGGTGACCATGGTGGCTATATTGTAGTCGGCCATCTTGGATCCAACTTTAGTTTTTTCACTAGGAAGAGGGTCATTTGACATCAAACTTATTGGAAATTTCACGAGAAAAAAAAATGGTGTGCATGGTTTTAATGTAACTTTATTCTTTCATGAGTTATTTACAAGTTTCTGACCACTTGTGTTCAATGTCCTGCCCATTGTGTTGGATTATCTATGCAACCCTCTTCTCCCACTCTTCACACACTGATAACAACACCGCAGGAGAAATGCCAGCACAGGCTTTCAATATCCGTAGTTTCAGGTGCTGCACATCTTGTATCTTCACACCATAGACAATTGCCTTCAGATGACCCCAAAGATAAAAGTCTAAAGGAGTCAGATTGGGAGACCTTAGGGGCCATTCAACTGGCCCACGACGACCAATCCACTTTTCAGGAAAGAGTTTGTAGGAATGCTCCAGCTTCAGTGCATAAAGAGGGAAAAACATCATCATGGAGCAATTTCAAATATCTAGTGGCGTTGAGGTTTCCATTGATGAAGAATGGCCACATTATCTTTGTTGTCTATGGTGTGAAGATACAAGATGTGCAGCAATCCAATTTCACATTTCATAACATTTCACAATATTATTTGTAATTAATATTACATTCAATGAACATCCATCAATCGTCCATTGTTAGCACAAACACTATAATCTTACCGTCCCAGTCTTACAAGCGTGTTTCTCTGTTGTGTGTGATACTCCAGGGTTCAGATCAAGCGGTAAAGAAAAAAATGAAGAAGAAAAGCAAAGCAAAAACAGACGACGAGACGAGTCCCGCTACAGATGAAACGTATGATCAACTCCCATTTTCTTTACTTTCAGATGTGATATAACACTCTTATGCAGGGGTCACCAATCTCGGTCCTGGAGGGCTGGTGTCCCTGCAGGGTTTAGCTCCAACTGGCCTCAACACACCTGTATGGATGTTTTAAGTTTATCTAGTAAGACCTTGATTAGCTTGTACAGGTGTGTTTGATTAGGGTTGGAGGTAAAACCTGCAGGACACCGGCCCTCCAGGAACAAGTTCGGTGACCCCTGCTCTAATGGCTTCTCTCTTCTCTTTCAGGCTTATTTCTCTTGAGCAGGAAACTCAGAGCAGCAACACCACGCACACAGGTAACACCGAACAGAGAAGAAATGAGGAATAATTCGAAAAATGAAAGTAGAACAACCAAACATATTCATTTACTGTTTTAATGTAAATGTGCGGACATGCACTCAGTGGCCACTTTATTAGGTACACCTGACTAATACTGAGTTTGACCCCCTTTTGCCTTGAGAACTGCCTTAATTGCCTTCGTGGCGTAGATTTAACAAGGTACTGGAAATGTTCCTCAGAGATTTTGCTCCATATTGACATGATAGCATCACGCAGCTGCTGCAGATTTGTCGGCTGCACATCCATGATGCAAATCTCCTGTTCCACCACATCCCAAAGGTGCTCTATTGGATTGAGATATGGTGACTGTGGAGGCCATTTGTGTACAGTGAACTCATTGTCATGTTCAAGAAACAAGTCTGAGATGATTCAGGCTTTATGACATGGCATATGGATTATGCATTCAGAGATGCTCTTCTGCAGACCTCGGTTGTAACGAGTGGTTTTTTGAGTTACTGTTGCCTTTATCAGCTGAAACCAGTCTGGCCATTCTCCTCTGGCATCAACAAGGCATTTGTGCCCACAGAACTGGCCCTCACTGGATATTTTCTGTTTTTCAGACCATTCTCTGTAAACCCCTAGAGATGGTTGTGCATGAAAATCCCAGTAGATAAGCAGTTTCTGAAATACTCAGACCAGCCCGCCTGTCGCAAACAACCATGCCACATTCAAAGTCTCTTAAATCCCCTTTCTTCCTCATTCTGATGCTCGGTTTGAACTGCAGCAGATCGTCTTGACCATGTCTACATGCCTAAATGCATTGAGTTGCTGCCATGTGATAGACTGATTAGAAATCTTCGTTAGCGAGCAGCTGGACAGGTATGCCTAATAAAGTGGCCGGTGTGTTCATCTACTTAAAAGAAAATCAATAACATTGAGTAATATTAAAGGCTGTAGATTATTATCATTTATTTATTTCCTTTTTTG